AGGAAAGCTGACCTAAGCATCAGCAAGCATCATCCTGTTTTCCATAGCTGCTTGTTTGAAGTTACCATATCAAGCCAGGTGAAACTAATATGAACACACTAATTGTTATGTCAAAATCTAGTTGTGTTTTCCATACTGAATGGATCTAATAAATGTCCAAAATAATGTTATGGTTTTTAGTGGGGTTTTTTTTATGTTCAACCTCTCTTGAAGGCATTCTGGTGATGGGTGCATCTGCCTGAATCAGGGAGATCTATTTGACCTCAAGGCAAAGCTATTTTGGATCATTCTAAAGATTAGATTTGCATAAATATTGGCTAAAGACTGTTGTACAAACTTGAAACCATCCATCAAGTTATGAACAAAAGGCAATGCTGAATTTGAATTAGATCCTTGCCTTGCCATTCTTTTTTTAAGCCATACGTGAAGAAGGGTGTTCTGGTTTGAAAGCAAAACCAGTGAGAGACTCCAAGTCAGAAAAGCAATTTATTAGGAAAAGGAAAACCAAAATACATGCAATAATACAAAAGAAAAACCACTGACAAAGTCAGAATACCACCTGATACCCTGTTGGTCAGGGTGTTGGTAGCAGTCCAGTTGGATTGGTGGCTGCAGTCCTCCTGGAGTGGCAGATGTGGTTCTGTTGGAGCAGCGATCCTGTAGAAAAGGTGTAGTCTTCCTCTGAAGATCCAGTGGAAAAGACAGCCATTCCTCTGGGAATCCAGTGAAAAAACTGTCTGCTCTGTCCCAAAAACCAGATTATATCCAGGTGGGGATGCTTAGCTCCTCCCCCCTGGGCGGAGCATCTCACAATGGGCTGTTATCATTCTGTGAGTCATGTGGTGGGTTCATTAAACAGAAATGGCTCCTGGAGGGAGCTATCTCTGAGTCATGTGGAAAGGCACTGATGGGCCCATTAACAGGAGATAAGGAAAAAACAATGCCCCTCCTGGTTTCAGCAGCTCTTGAGGATGGGAATAGAATACATCTTTATATTGTAACCTAGGACAAAGGGAAATAATATATCCACTAGGCATTTATAGAACTCTTTTCACTGTACATGGCAAAACCCTTTGAAAAGCCTCGCAGATTAAAGTAGAATATGGGAGGAGGTTTACAGACCTCATTTTTAGCTGAGTTTCTCTGGCTGGTTTTTAGCTGTATTATATTTTGTCGAGGATTACTTGGTGAGCAACAAGCATCTTGATGGTCAGTGGATATTCACTAACAGCTGAAGATTCTAGAATATCTTCTCTAAGTAATCTTTTTATAATAGCAATCAAATAAAACCAAGCATATGTTCTTCCTTCAGCAAGCAACTAGTAAGTCATGAACAGCATTGCATAGGTTTAGAAAAGCACTGAGGAAGTGGTTGTTGATATATGTGGTTCGTCAATATGAACTGTTCTTACAGCTACTCTGTGATTCATCCTTCAGTTTCACTAATGTGGACTTTATCAGCATTGTGATTCCTTACAGTGGAACAAAGATTTGGTTGCAATGGCATTCTTTGTGGGTTTTGTTTGTTTATTTTAATAGTAGCAGCAGCTTTGAGAGTATACTGAAGTGATCTCTGAAGAACACTGATGCCTATAGACCATTTCAGGCATACCATGTATGCTGATCATGCATATTGCAAAAATTTTAGTTATTCCATTGACAAGGAAATTTTTTCAGAAAGTAGAGTAACAGGAAAGTAGGTACCAGCTCTTTGCAAACTTATTAAACAAATTGAAAAACTTAAGTTGATCATACATGTTTTTGTAGATACCTTCAAATGGTTTTGTGTTCTATTGTCTTTCAAATGTTTTTGAAAAATATCCTGTAAACTGAAAAGACATTAGTATGGGGTTTGTAACCTAATGTTTGTTGCCATGTGACTGGATTCTTATGGTGAACTGTATACCTTAAGTATTTCTCTATTACTCTTTACAAATAGTACATTTATTATAAAATATGGAGCTATAAAAATGGAATTTAGTAAGATGTTTCTAGTGAAGATTGGGTTGCCCTGACTCAAAATAACAAGTAATAAAGTAAAATGTTTTAAAAATCTTGACTGAAGTTTCACAGTATATAGTATCCCTGAAATTCTTCAGAAAGGATAGGGAGTCCTTTTCCATGTATATCAGAATTGTTCATACATGTACAGTCATGCTCAACTCCTGTGTACTGCATGAGTAAAACACTTTTTAGATTTGGTTATTTACAATCCTCAGCAGCTAAGGAAACTGGGCATTCAGCAGACTCATTCCAGGGAGCAATGTGACAAAAACACTTTATATATAGATTATGGAGCTCTTTGCAATAATTTATTGTTCTCTTTTCTGCTATTCCCTTCTTTATTCCAGAAAGCTTTTCATATTCCCTAATAAAAGAAAAAGGGGGAAGCTTATATTGTCATCTGAAATATATGTAACAGGAGAGAGTACAGTTTAAGCATTAGTTTAAATTATATTGGAGAACATAGAATACTTAAAACTTTTGAAAAGGAAATAAAGTTATTTTTCCAAATATTTACAGTACTTGCATTTTTATTTTTCATTTATGTATAATTAACACTGTGGTAATTGACTTATTTTTAAAGACTGAGTAGTGTTCTACCTCCAGAACAAAATCAATAAGGAAAGCAAGAATAGATATTCCTAGGAGGTATGAAAGTAGTAGCTTGTAATTTTTTACTTCTTGTTTTGGTGAGTGGGTTTTTTGGGTTTTCTTACTTAAAATATATCATTTTTTAGTCTTACTGATATGTTCTTTGTGCACAGTATAAGGAAAATAAGAATTCTGTTCTAACAGTTCCTCACAATGTTCACAATCTTAAAATTGCATCATTAAACATTCAGGCATAGTTTTAAAACTGAATTTGAAATTGAATTGAATTAGAATTTGGTTATGGAACTCTTGCCAAGATCGGTATACAATCCATTACTGATTTGTTTCCTTTTCTTATTTCCTTTCCAAGCAATCTCTCTTACTAATTATTCTGGTTTTAAATTTACTTTTCATTGTAAACTAGGAGAGGCTTAAAGATATATTTGTAGAAAATTATTCCTGCTAGCCTAAGTACATTTAGCCCATCTAGCATTTAAGCATCTGTATGAATCATAATGCAACTTTTGCTCCTTTCCTTGCAGCTGTTTTTTGCAGTATATTTGGCCAGATTTCCTATAGGATTTATGCTCTTGTGTATTGTCCCCCTGATTTCAATGAAATTACCAACAGTGCATGGAGAATCCATGTTAAAATAACCCAGGATCTTAGGCCCTCTAGCAATTTCACCTGTAGAAATTGTCTTGAACATGTATGTGCAAATTTTCCTCTAGTCTGAAGCTGAATGTATGCTAGCTCTCTTCAGACATTGCATAGGCATGCAAAGAGTATTAATGTAGGGATACCACTGCTCAGACATGGCTACGCAGTATCCAGATTAGACCTGGCTGGCATCCAATCAGCTGCTGATGCGCACAGAGGAACTAATCTGTCCATGCTGTCTTTATTTCTGACAACCTTCAATCTAGTGCCCAGTCCACAAAGACTAATAATTTCAAAGCACCATGGTAAACCACACTGTGAAATGTTTTCTAGCATTTTTAAAAGCAATATTATGGATTTTAGAACTTTGTCAGGTGGTGACTATCAAAGGATGGAAATTAAAAGCAAATAAATGAGTGACTACAGCATGGGGGAAGCAGGAACAACTTTTGCTATCCTCGAATAACTTTTCCTACCTCAGTTTGAAAACCCCAATATTTTAAATCCTTTTTAAAATGCACTTAAATGGGATGACTTGATGAATATATTTTATTGCTGGAAACTATTTTCTCTTATTCAGGCTCTTCTAATTCCAGTTTAAGTTGTTTAAAGTGGGGGAAGAACTAAACTTGGATTAGAAGATGGAATATTTGTCTAAAAATTGAAATAAATTTTAGAAAGTTATGTTAGTGATATAGTTAATGTAATTTAAAAAGTGAATTATCATCCAGAAGATGATTTCTTGGAGAATTTGTGTGTGTGTATAGCAATTGGCAGGTGATTTTCTCTCTATTTCTTGGGAAGGAGAGAGAGGCATTTATGACAAAGGCATTTGTCCTGTTGTTGGAAAAAGGTTAACAGTTTAGTTCAATAATCTTGAAATCTGTGCAATAGGTTCTTTGATAAAGATATCAAACAAACCGCCAATAAATACTTTTGAATTAATTTGGTTTCCTTGTGTCACTTGTAAAATATTTTGACTGTGAATTCCTTTATAGTGACCATATGGGCCTAATCATAGTTTCAAAATGTGCTGAGAATCATGTGATGATATCTAAGTATTTACCTCTGTGGAAAAGAAACCCGATGTGTTTCAGCTTGCTGTTTTTCTATACTAAATGAAAATATTTCAATTATGCTTTGTAACAAAATCAAGCAAAAATTTGGATTGCATTATAAAACTACTAATAAGAGGTAAGAAAAAAAAATCTGAAGCAGAGATTGAAATGTCAATGATTTTGTCTGCATTTAGGGATAAGACCCCACAGATTCTGCCACAGATTGTCTCTAACTGCTGGAAATATGAAAATTACTGTCTTGTGTGCACTAAACAATTCGAATGAGAATAAACAACTGTTAACTAGGCATAATGAATCCTTAAATTACATACACTGTTATAAAACCTGTTGAATTCAGATAATGAACTAAAATAAGACTAAATTTTGTGGAAATAGAGCAAGAATGTCTTTTTACAAAGGAAATTCACCAATTTGAATTCATTTATATGCCTAACAAAATATTTTATTGAAGGAGATGTGTATGCAATGTATTGTGTTAATTTCTACTTGCAGTGTGAACAATAAATGCAACTTTAGAAAGGGCTGTCAAATACATACAAATATATCTCATTGCGCTAATATTTATTAGAGGATATACTTTAAGCAGTTCCTGAGAAAGGACTGTAATGTTGAGCTTTTATTATTATCTTCAGGTTCACATTTGTTCTTCTTACTCTTCACTAATAGGTAGCATAGATCAGTCAGTGTTAAAGGAATTACCTCCTGATCTCCTGGCAGAAATTGAATCCACCATGCCACTTTGTGAACGTGTGAAAATGAACAAGCGTAAACGTAGCACAGTTAATGAGAAACCAAAATATGCTGAAATCAGTTCTGATGAAGACAATGACACTGAAGAAGCTTTTGAATGTAAGTAGTACATATAAGCCCCAGTGGCTGTTGAAATGCTTATATGTGGAGTAAAGTAAATTATGGAAAACTTTCACAGTAATTATATGCTTTAAGGGATTCTAGGTTCATTACATCCACTCAAGAGATCTGGTCATCTTTCTAAACAATTCATTGAGGACATCTGGGTTAAAAATAAATTATAATATTTCTCAAAGGATACTGTAAAACTGAATTCAGGTAAAACAAGACAAAATGATCAAGATAATGAAAGATCTGTGACAAGTACACTGAATAGATTTGTAGTGTTACAAATATGTATTTCAGAATTCTTTTGGTTGTCCAAAATTGAACTTTAAAAATATGGAATAGTTATTGTTATAGAAGATAAATTTCTTTGAGTATCTCATGAAGAAAGGGCATTTCATTAAATTAAATTATGAAAATTAAAAATTTATTAAATCTCATGCAATGAGTGATAACTGTGTTATTGCATAAATGTTTGGCAAAGTTTAGAAGGAAATTGGATGTTTATATTCTGAGTAGTCTTTATGTATAAAAATTAATAGTAACTCTTTAATATTATTAGTACTTACATTTTAGTCATTTTTATCTGCTTCAAAATAAACTTTGTAGAGCAATAACTGATTGTGAATAGCTGTTCCCATGTTCATGTTATTTGTCTTGCAGAGTCAGCACAACTGTAACATATTCTATTTTGTTGCGCAGCATTGATAAACTGATCAGTTTAAATTTCTGCTGGAAAGCAATATTGGAAGTTACTTTTCTCATGGAGATATAGCTGGGGTCAGAATTTGTTCTACAGAGCATAAAATTGATACTGATGATTTGTAAACTGCAGAGACAGATTTAATCTACCTCCACAAAATACTGCCTCGTGGGGGGAAAAGAATCAGTTGAAATTTGTAAAGTCTTTTCCCATAAACCCATTACTTTTCTTCTCCAATATGCTCACTTCAGTTATCCCAGACAGCTTTTTGTTTCTTCAGTTGCAGTTAACTCTCAACCGTTTTAAAATTGAGTGTTAGTAGCTCAGGCCTTGTGAACATGACTATACTGCCTCCAGAAGCAAGTCTGATCCATAAGCAGAACACCTCAAAAACATGAACTGAGTTATTACCTTTAACACTTGAACCACCTCTGCGCAGAAGTTTTCAGAAGTGGAAGCCCTCTAGGGTGCAGTGCAGAGCATTAGTATTACCTTTTACTCAATATTGGTTTCATTAGTTCTGAGCCTGGCCTGACTATTGACTATATCCTGGTATGTTTCCTATTCTTCTCAATAAACTGGGGTTGTGGAAAGAGCTTGTCAGTTCTGTTCCAGTTCTGTCTGAATGCTTGGAGCCATTTTGCTCAGAAACAACCCACTGTACAGTCATACCTCTCTAAACTTCAGGAGGCTTTGGTAGAGACACAGAGATGTCAGGGCTGCTATATGCAAGTTCACATTAATAATAAACTCTTCTAATGTAGAATGTAATGTTTTGGAGCCATTTTGATCTTCATAGCAAAGCATAGTATTTGCTTTCCTGTTACCTTAGATAATGGTGAGTTGGCTGATTTAATGGATGAAATTACCTCCTTTCTTCATATCCTTTTTTTATTACATCTTAGCACTCTTTGCCCTTCAGGACTATATTTGAAAACAAAAAAAAATCTCCTTTCTCCTCTACACACACACTTTATTTCCACCAAGTTTCTGGTTTTGTATAGAACATTTATCCCAGTCTTTCAACATTCAGTTGTGCGAGGCTTTTTGGCCCTAACTGAAAACTGATTTTAATAACCTTCTGTGGTATATACTTGCTGCCTGGCCCAGGATTGTGACTGCAGCTTTCTCCTTTACACTGAATCTCCTGCAATATATATCAAGACAAAATTTTAGTTGTCTTGACAGAACAGATTATCTTTAAGTAACTAGGTTACCAAGTCTCATTGGGACTCACTGTGTTAGATGGGCAAAGCAATCACTGAATTGGAACATGGACACCAGATAATAGAATTTAGACAACCTTAGTGTTCTCTTATGAAAGGATGCAACTTATTTTGATTTGTTTTACTTTCCTTTGTATAAAATGACAAATGCCCTGTAAATTTTTATTTTTAAATGTTTGGTCATCTTTCCCAGTTTTAGGTACTTTTTTCATGTAATTCAAAATTGTTAGAATTGTAGAAATAGAATAGTGCCATAACAAATTTTTATATGATAGTTTTAGAGTGTTTGCTTGTTTTACAGAACATCTATATGATAGTATTTAACTTGCAAATGTATAATTTTTAGCTATTAAAAGTAGAATTTTTGTCCTTATAATGAAAATGCATTTTATTTCTAGCTTCTCGTAAAAGACATAAAAAGGATAGAGATGAAGCTTGGGAGTATGAAGAACATGATAGAAGAAGTTCTGGTGACCATAGGAGAAGTGGTTATTGTCATGAAGGAAGGAGGACTTCTGGTAGTGGCCGTTATCGTAATCGCAGTCCCAATGACTCTGAGATGGATGATTATTCTCCTCTTCCTAGCCTCAGTGAGGGTAACTGATGGTTTTAAAAAAAAATAATTTCTTCCATAATACTAGTGCATTTTTAAAGGATATGTTAAACATTTCAAAATAAACATCTTTACATGTAATATTGAATATAAGCATAAAAAGTGTAAACAATCCTTTATTCTCTTAATTAGTAGCTAGAAAAATGAAGAAAAAAGAAAAACAAAAGAAGAGGAAAGCTTATGAACCTAAACTAACACCTGAAGGTAATTTTAGAATATTTATTTTCTATAGTTTGTATTTTCTGGTTTGTATATAAAATAATTATATATACATTTCTTTTTCACCAGAAATGATGGATTCTTCTACTTTCAAGAGATTTGCTGCTTCAGTAGAGAATATTTTGGAAAATTTAGAAGACATGGATTTTACAGCTTATGGTAATATGGCAAAAATTTTCAAAATGCTTAATTAAAAACATAAGAAAGGAATTTGCATCTTCGTATTTTCAAACTTCCTTCTTTGTAATTTAATAGCCTGTGAAACACACTGTGGTATACCACATTTATATGGCTTCTACCTTTAGTGGAGGCCTTTAGCTTTACAATTTCATTTGCTACTACAGGAAGAATATCCTCCTTCCTCCCTGCAGAATACAAAAGGGACATAAATCACAATGAGACAAAAAATAGTCCCCTGGAATGGAAAGGATACCTCTTTGGGACATCATCAGGGTATCTTCTGTCAAATGTATCTTTGTAAAGAATGCTAACGTAAGATGGCTGGATGCCAGGCACCCACCAAAGCCTCTCTCTCACTCCCCTCCACAGCTGGACAGGGGAGAGAAAATTCACAAAGGGTTCATGGGTTGAGATAAGGACCAAGAGAAATTCCTCATCAAATACCATCATGGGCAAAACAGGCTTGAATTAGAGGTATTAATTGAATTTATTGCTAACAAAATCAGAGCAGAATAATGGAAAGTAAAATAAGACCTTAAAAACACCTTCCCCTCACTTTCTTAGATCTGTCTCCTCCCTCCCAGTGGCACAGGGAAACAGGAATGGGGTTTATGGTCAGTTCATCACCCATTGTTCTTGACATTTCTCAGGGACAGGAGCTGGAGTCCTTCCCCTGCTCCAGCATGGGGTCCCTCCCATGGGAGACAGTTCTCCATGAACTTCTCCAACATGGGTCCTTCCCAAGGGCTACAGTTCTCCACAAACTGCTGCAACATGAATCACTCTTACACGGGGTTAGTTTCAGGCACAGCCTGCTCCAGTGTGGGTCCCTCACAGAGTCACAAGTCCTACCAGGAAACCTGCTTCAGCGTGGGCTCCTCTCCCCATGTGTCTGCAGGTCCCTGCCAGGACCCTGCTCTAGCACAGGCATCTCACAGGGTCACAGCCTCCTCTCAGGCATCCCCCTACTCCAGCATGGGCTCCTACACAGGCTGCAGGTGGATCCCTGCATCCCTGTGGCCCTCCCTGGGCTGCAAGGGCACAGCTGCCTCACCATGGTCTTCCACCATGGGCTGCAGGGGAATCTCAGCTCTGGCACCTGGTGCACTTCCTGTCCCTCCTTCTGCACTGACCTTGGTGTCTGCAGTGGGCTCCTCTCCCCATGTGTCTGCAGGTCCCTGCCAGGACCCTGCTCTAGCACAGGCATCTCACAGGGTCACAGCCTCCTCTCAGGCATCCCCCTACTCCAGCATGGGCTCCTACACAGGCTGCAGGTGGATCTCTGCATCCCTGTGGCCCTCCCTGGGCTGCAAGGGCACAGCTGCCTCACCATGGTCTTCCACCATGGGCTGCAGGGGAATCTCAGCTCTGGCACCTGGTGCACTTCCTGTCCCTCCTTCTGCACTGACCTTGGTGTCTGCAGAGTTGTTCCTCTCACATATTCTCACCCCATTCTCCTCTCGCCCCAATTACATCTGCACATTAACATTTTTTTGTTCTTAACTACATTATCCCTGCGGCATCACTGCCATCTCTGATTGACCCAGCCTTGGCCAGTGGCAAGTCCATCCTGGAACTGGCTGGCGTTGGCTCTGTTAGACATGGGGGAAGCTTCCAGCAGCTTCTCACAGAAGCCACCCCTGTAGTCCCCCCACTACTAAAACCTGGACATGCACACCAAATACACCGGTAATTTCTGAGGCACATAATTTTGCATCTGTTGTGGCCTTTGGCCCGACAGAAATTGATTATTCAATTCAGCAGCAGAGTGCTTATTCTCTTATGGATGGGGCACTGAATCACTATATGCTCCTTATCCATTTCAGTAGAAATTAAGCCAATTTAGCATAAGTGTCTGATGAAGTAGCTCAGGTTGACCAACATGACTTTATTTTGAAATGGATAACAGATCATTTCTTAATTTTTTTAGAACTAGAACAAAAGGAGAAACTTAATAAGCAAATCACTACAGCTATGGTGTCTGCAACCTTGGATTAAAAATATTTTTAATCTATGACTTTCAGTCATATTTAACAAGTAGTCATTTTAACACCACCAAAAGTTGTCATCATCAGTCTTCCTTAGATGGAACTATGATATGCTAGCTATTTGGAAAATGAGTTCTTTTTCTTCAGTTGGCTTTTTCATATTGACTGTAAAATACTGGTTTCCTTGAAGTCTTATTAGAAATGTGATTTATAATTTTTAATTAATTTATTTTAAGGTGATGATGATGAGATTCCACAAGAACTGCTACTGGGAAAGCATCAGCTTAGTGAGTTGGGGAGTGAATCTGCAAAAATCAAGGCAATGGGCATTATGGACAAGGTACATCTTCATAGTATTTAACTCTTTTTGAACATTTAATTTTGTTAAACATACAAAAAAATGTGCCCCCTCTAATATTCCACCCTCTTAAGGTGTATCTGTGACAAATACTGTGAACAGTTGTGCTTCTGCTGAAGTGCTTAAAAAGTTCCCACATCTTAACTGTTACTGTCTCTAAGCCAAGACTTAAATGGTCCTCTGTGTTAGGGCTCACTCACAGCACTATATGCCAATAGGTAACACATGCCTGAGCAGTAAAATCTAATAATTAATCTACTTTCACAAAAGCACATAATTTGCTCCTTACAGCTACTGTTAAGCAACCACAGTAAAACAGAACCTGCTGGCAAAGTCAAAAAATCCACCCTTGCTGATATATGCCATTAGTGCAATGTAAATATCTGATGTCCATCCAGCATCATACTGAGTTGCCCACTCCCTTCCTCTCTCCTAAGAGTCCTTTCAAACTTTAAAGATTTAATGCTTAAGCTGATAATAAGATTAATTTTTTGTAGACTGCATATTGTGATTTCTTTTCCATACTCTTCCCATCTTCTGTTCAAGGGAACTTGCTGTTGGCACAAACTGTTGGTATCACACCTTTAGAAACAGTATTCTTGCTTTCCTAATCTTCCTAGAACTATTGGCTTTGGGCAGTCTTGTATTAAATTCTTACTTTACCTCCTCATTACCATTTTTTATGTTTATGAAGTGTCTGTGAAGCCACTTATACAAGTCATGCTGAAGGGTTTTCTTTAGTCTGAGATTTAGATGTTCTTCATGGCTCTTTGTTCTCTCTACCTTCCTTTGTAGCATGATATTAGCCTGAGTGTTTCTGTTTCCTTATAGTTCTCACCCTTAACCTCTGTTACCTGTTTTATTCACATACATACTTACATGTATGCATAAAATCAGAATTTTGTTGCTTCTAAAGGTGAGCACCAATAGTATCTGGATGAATGAAACTAATTCTCCTGGAGTTTAGCGTATTCTACAGATTATTTAATCGCAATTCTGTAGAACATCAGCAAGTGAATTTGAGTTACTTTTTTCAACATGCGAATTTTTAAAATTAACTGTTATTGAGAATATGTTTCCTTTTCATTAGAACTCAAGTATCAGGGAATTTTATTTCTGCTTGTCCATACAACTTGGATTTTGTCTTAATAAAGATCTATATAGTCAACTAGAATTTGGGATTGATACTCGGATTTGTTAAATTTCTCTTTCTAGAAGCAAATGCAAAAGCATATAACTATACAACAATAATTACAGTTATGCAATTTAAAATACATTTCTATGTATTTTTCTGGTTGAAAATGAAGTTTGATTGCAGTCTTAGAACATATTTTCACTAGTTTAATTCTATTATCAGCATTCTAAATCATGCTGTGTCAGAAACCTGACAAATCAAGATCCAATACTTAGATTGGACTTTTTTTTCCACAATTTGGAAGCCTTTCTGTTCCTATAGTTGTTTGATGTGTTTTGTTTCTTGTTTTAGCTCTCAACAGAAAAAACAGTAAAAGTCTTGAATATTTTGGAGAAGAATATTCAAGATGGATCAAAGCTTTCCACATTATTTAACCATGTGAGTTTTCAAATTACATTGTTTCACACCATTGTGTAGAATAGGGTTTTCTTCACTTGAGTCCTATATAGTGATAGTTTCAAATACTGTATGTGTCTGAAAGGAATTCCTGATTTAATATGCATGTGTTTAAAAGATTGTCAAATTTTAAGATTTGAAGTAAAATTATAGTTTATATTATTTCAGTATTTTTTACTATAGTAAACGTATTCAGAGCAATTAGGTTATCTTTGGACCTAATTTTAAATATTATAGTTTCATCCTGAAATATTCATGGTGACCGGTGTAACTTGCACCATTGGGCATTTTTTTTCTACTTTTCTATGTGTCCATAAAACATTCCTTCCACAGTGGAAGAAATATAACAGCCTGTGCTTTTTTATAAAGGCAAGAAAGATTATTTTTCTCTGTACCAGAGAAGTTATTAAAAATGTCACCTGGTTTTGCTATTAATAACATTATTACAATATTTCACTAGTGCAGTGTGGTCATAATTAACCTCATGTATGTTTTATGACGTGTGCAAACACAGAAATACAGAGATTCCATACCCTGTGCTAAATCTAAATCACAGAATCTGCTGAGTTGGAAGGGACCCCCAAGGATCATTGAGTCCTTATATGGTCATATTTGATAAGACATGTTTTAAACCCATTGATATAGATGAGTTGGACTCTGGAGAAAGTTGTATTCTCATGAGTTTTGCATGACTTAACAGTCTTTTTGTGTAAGAATTCTCTCTAGTGGCAAAAATTAGACTGATCAAAGCAGCAACTGGTATGTATAAGCCACTGAAGAAAACACTAGATGAATGAGTTTAGATTTTGATTAAGGTACATAATTCTCAAATAGAGAATGTGACAGTCTTCCTTCATAGTGCTTCCCAATAATACACAGAAATCTTCTTTGTGATTTACCAGAAGAACACAGTGAGATATTGAAGACCTGTAACTTAGGGTTTGTCTTGGTTTGAAAGACAGGTGTCTGCTAAGGAAGGCAGGAGCCTCCCTTGGAATGGAAAATGTAAACCCCCTCCCTCCAAATTAATTATAATTAAGGGTCTCTCAGGCAAAGAGATGGGAATAGAAATAACAGTTCTTTACTAGTATGTATAATAAAGCAAACAACCAACAACAACAACAGCATTAACAACAAACAGAACCAGGAACCCAGTAACAGCCTTCTCGGCAGCAGGCACCTTCCCCTTTCGTGTGGTGATGGTCACAGCCGGCAGGGGTGCTGGTGGCTCCCGGTGGGCAGGGCAGGTGTGATGATTCCCCTGCGGCTGCAGGGGCCGCTGTGGTGCGAGCTTGGGGAGCACGCAGTAATGGCGGCTCGGCTGAGATGGGAAGGTATGGCTTCGCTTCACAAACCCCAGGGGCAGCCGATCCCGGTGCCCCAGCAGGACTCTCGGAAGCATCAAGCTGGGCCGGCAGGATGTCTCGGCAGGCAGGGGGTGCAGCTCTACAGTGCAGCGAAAAGCTCAGAACAGTGCCGAAGAAGCAGCGGGGGCGGGGCAGCGGCGGCCCGGCTCTCAGCAGGGCAGGGAGAGGTGAGCTCAGGATCCCAGGCACCCGAGTAGACAGTGATAGGTCCTTCTTTTAGCGAGGTAGGTGTTAATAAGGTCCCAGTTCAGTGGCGGCTCTCACAAGCAGAGGCTCACCCCACAGCAGAAGAAGCAGCTCTGGGCTGGTCTCTGGCAGCAGCAAATTCCCTTCCCAAGCAGCAGTTCCAACTGTCCTCCTTCAAAGCCGAGAGAGAGAGAAAGCACTAGCAGCTGCCCCAGCCCCTTCTTTTACCTGCCCAATTCTCTCGGTATCTCTGCCCCTCTGAAACTCCCAGATAAGAGAAGTGCAACCAGATGCCCTGCTCTCCTGAACTTGATCACTTATTTTGTTTTCTGAAGTACCCAGTTAGTGTTTCCTAGCAATTTATGGGAAAAAATTCTATACTAAAAATAAACAAAAGGGAAGAAACCTAACCCCCAACAGGGTTACAAACCTTTTGCTAGTAAAACAAACATTTGTTGATTTCTAAACCAAACTATTTTTCTATCATAAAGGTAATACTGCATTTTGTATGTGTGTATGTAAGTGTATTAAAATAATGTTATATTTTACTTGGTAAGGAAAACAATTTAACTTCTTGTTTACAGTCTTGTTTTCTATCACCTGTTACAGAACAATGACACTGAAGATGAGGAGAGATTATGGAGAGATCTTATTATGGAGAGAGTGACAAAATCTGCTGATGCTTGTCTTACTGCTATCAATATTATGACATCACCAAATATGCCTAAAGCTGTATATATTGAAGATGTAATAGAAAGAGTTATTCAATACACAAAATTTCATTTGCAAAACACTCTCTATCCTCAGTATGATCCTGTGTATAGAGTGGATCCTCATGGTGGTTAGTATGCTAAATGTTTTGCATTTTGTTGTCATATGCATATCTTGAGGTGCAGGTATTCAAGAACGGTTTTAAGAATCTTGGATCCAGAATTCAAAGCAGTTATGAAAATATTAAATTCTTGCTTTCCAGCTGATTTTACTAAATAGTTTTTCTTTTGTAAAAAATTTCATTTACAAAGCTGTAGTCATGGACTTGTTTTGGAGACATTTTTTGAGGAAGATTATCATCTTTCTAATATCTGATGTGAAATACTGAAAAAATTAAAGATATTTTTTATTTTCTAGGTGGTGTTTTAAGTTCAAAAGCAAAACGTGCCAAGTGTTCCACCCACAAGCAAAGAGTTATAGTGATGTTATATAACAAAGTTTGTGACATTGTCAGCAGTTTGTCAGAGTTGCTAGAGATACAGCTTCTCACTGATACAACTATTCTTCAAGTAAGTTTTATTAGAAAAATTTTTGTCTGAGAATTTTTTTCTTTTTCCAGAGACTGAAAAGTGTAATTGTCTCAATGACATGAAATATGAAACCAGTACAAACTTTTGAATGATTAACAGCAGTGACTGATTTGTTCTGTAGTAATGTTCACATCTTAAATAGCTTTTATTGCACACTTAAGAAAAGTTGAATCTGATTGTATTAAAATATCCTTTAATAACTATTTGTAAACCATATGAATGAATACATGTTGTTGAATACCTTACCTGATGAATGAATAATCTACTTGTGAAAATGCATAAATATCAGTTTAATAGTCAAATATACTTACAATAACTTCTTTCTGTTGATAGATATCATCTATGGGAATAACACCTTTCTTTGTAGAAAATGTCAGTGAACTACAGCTATGTGCCATCAAATTAGTGACTGCAGTAAGTAATTTTTAATTTGCAGTAGTTTCATGTTCTTCTGAGAGTTATTAGGGCGTTTACATAGGCTATATTTTTGCTGGTAGAGAATTGGAGCTCAGAACTAATTTTATTCTTGCATGTTTTTACAGTTTGGTATCAAAATCTAGGAACAATATTAAAGCTACTTGAGCTCCTCCCATTTGCAGAGTACTCTATAGGAAGAAATAGCCTACATAAGCCAAGGAATTTACTTAATTTTGGTTATGCTGTTTAAAGTGTAAACACAAACCCCTTCCTCTTACCTGTTCTTTCTCATCTTAAGAAATCTTAACAGTGTGATTTTTCTTACCTCCTTTGTTGAGATTAGTTTATGCAATGGTATAAGCCATAGAACTAGTAGGATAGTTCTATATAATATATAATAGAACTACATAATAGAACGAGTGCTTTTCCTCAGAAGAGGTGGCTATGTGAAAAATTCATGGAACAGATAAAATATTTTTTCAGGAAAACTGCAGTGCAACACAGATGTTGTTTGTTCAAGTGAAAGTTTTTCATCTTTGTAAGGATTAGGTACTCCAGTATTTATAAAAGTAATTCTGCCTGAAGAAAAGGAGAGGCAAACTCTACAATCCTGACCCCATAAATTGAATTAATATTTCATGTCAGGCAAACATCAAAGCTTAGTTTTCTCAAATGTGCTCTAAAACTATACATGTGTTCACATTTAATGTATGTTACCACAGACTTTTGCTCTATACTGGAGTCTGATAGCTTAGCCTTACACTGTTTGACTTTCAGTGTATTGTAGTATTGGCAACAAAATTTAAAACACATTATATTTTTAAGAGCTATTACACATTTATGCTATTTGAAGATTTAAAAAGCTATATTTGAAAAGGGTTTTATGTATTTTATAAAGAAATGCTTGCTTTGAAAAAACAAAGCAATGCATTTAAAGCAAGGTATGCATTAAATATAATTTAAATGTCATGTAAAGAGTATTTTTCTATATATAATTTTTAAAATCTATTTAACAAGTGATATTTTATGTAACAACAAATAGTTTTTTAACAATTCTGTTACTGTTAAATAGGTGTTCTCCAGGTATGAAAAACATAGACAGCTAATACTAGAAGAAATTTTCACTTCTCTCGCAAGACTACCAACCAGCAAGAGGAGTTTGAGAAATTTCAGGTAAATTCTGACAGATTGATAATTTGTAGACAGCAACATTTACAGTTTTTTAGATGTAGGATTTTAGGCTTCAGTGTTAACTTGTTCTTTAAAAATCTGTGACTCCATGAGCTATGTTTTGTTAGAGGTTGATATTTCAAAACCTCTACAGTGAGAGCAGAATTGTCTGACAAATGTATTTTGTAATAATCACTTTCTTATGCCATCATATTTATGCCTGCTTCCAAAATGTCTTGGTTTGAAAGACAGGTGTCTGCCATGGAGGGTGGGAACCTCCCTTGGAATGGAAAATATTACTCCCTTCTCTCCAAATTATTATAACTTTGAAATTAGGGGCTTTCAGGCAAAGATATTGGAAAAGGAATAACAGATCTTTACTAGTATGTATATGTATAACAAGGCAAACAAACAATAACAGTGGTAACAACAACAAACAAGAACAGAAAACCCTATAAACTGTCTCTTCCCTGCTCTTTAAACAATTTCCCCTTTGGTGTAGTGTTGGTCACAGCCGGCAGGGGTGCTGGTGGCTCCCGGTGGGCAGGGCAGGTGTGATGATTCCCCCGCGGCTGCAGGGGACGCTGTGGTGCGAGCTTGGAGACCACACGGGTAATGGCAGCTTGACCGAGACAGGAAGGGATGGGAAAGGGGCTTGCTTTACAAACCCCCAGGAGCAGCCAGTCCCAGTGCCCCAGCAGGACTCTCTTGGAAGTAGCAAGTTGGCATGGCAGGAACAAGCAAAATCCCGGGGTGGTAGATGAGATGTATCAGAAACTCTGCAGCTGTAGCTGGGAACGCGGGACGTCTTGGCAGGCAGGGGATACAGGGGCTACAGTGTAGCAAAAACCTGGAGCAGTGGCAAAGATACGTCAGGGGGCTGGGCAGCAACCGCCCCGCTCCTGAGCACAGCAGGCTCCCTTGGGGGGGAAAGGGGCTTGGGGATCCCAGGTTTTCCCCTAAGACACCCGAGCAGATGGTTAGGGGTCCTTTGTTTGGTGAAGTAGAGTGTTAATGAGGTCCTAGTGCAACGGCCACTCTTATGAGCAGAGGTCCACTCAGTAGAAGAAAGGCAGAGAGAGACGGAGCCCCGCAGTGGTGATGAATTCTCCTCACAGCAACAGCAGCCTCTCCCCCCGCCAATGCCGAGAGCACAAGAGAGCTAGGGGCTGCACCCAATCCCTTTTTCCCAGCCCGATTCGATTCTCGAAGTATTTCTCCCCTAGCCAGAGAAACCCCCAGGTAAAATGAGAGAGTCACCAGCTGCACCCCTCCCTTGATCTGTGGCCACTTCTTTTGTCTCTCTTAAGTACATAGTCGTTATTGTCTCCTAGCAACAGACATGGGGAAAACTTCTTTTCGTGAAAGAAAGGATCCTAAACCCCAACACAAACTAACTGCAATATCTTATCTGTCTCACTAAGTATGTAAATGACTGTAATGTTATTATGAATTCAAACGTTTTTTCTTGGAAAATTCTTTGGTTCTGTTTATATGGATTTTATATAATGTCATTGTTAAAGCCTAATAGGAAAATTCTGGCTCAATTTCTTTGAGGATATGCTTAGAGCACTCTTTCCATGAAATCAATCTAATACTCCTTTTGAAATAAATGGGCAGGAGAT